GATGAATGCATTGCGCGATTCAAAGACGAAGCGGTCCGTAGAGGACTCGCCGCCTGTGACATCCACCCCTTCCTTGGAGATTTGGCGCTCTATAACGACAACGTCCATTTCCGCGAGGACAGTGAATCCCGCCGCAAGATGGTTTCGGGTTTAGCCCACATCATGCAGATCGAGATCGCCGAGCGCTACGCCTCCAGAGCGATAGCGAAAATGGGCGAAGCCGCCTTCCAATCACTGCTTGCTGACAATTATTTTGATTCCCGTGGTCGCTACGCAGTCGATAACCATGTCCTGCAAGCGGCTCTTGCGAGGATGACGAGAAGCAAGCAAGTCAAGGCGGAGCCAACGGAGGAGGATCCGTGGGACGACGCATACTGGGAGGAGAAGCGTGACGAAAGTCACGCCGAACTGCCTGCGCCTGAGGTCCCCGACTTCCTCAAGGAGATGAAGATTCAGAACGTCATCAGCGTCGCACCCGGTGTGTTCGCAACAGAAGAGGAGATCAATTCGCCGGAATGGAACAAAGCCCCACCTAAGGTGGAGGCCGTTACCCCGGCGAGTACTGCAGCTTCGTCTTCTGGCGATATTCGACCGATGCCGATCGACGCATCCATTTATGGTGGAGGCATTCTGTCTGGCGACTCTGGCACCGAGCACGCTGCAAAAAGAGCTCGCCTCGCAAAGGCTGAGGCCGACAAGCAGCGATTGACCAAGCTCGCAGTGCAGGGATCGCGCGGAATGAGGTTCATGAACGACACCTATGACTTCGCCGAGATGACTGGCATTACCCTGTATGATTACTGGAACGAATGCCCCTCGCAAGAGGAGGCCGACCAGTACATCGAAGTGTTCCAAAAGGACATGACGCCAGGCCTACACTACCCGAGATGTGATCACAAAATGGTTACATTCGTCACTGGACTCATCAGAGGAAACTTCGAAAACAAGGGTAATCAATTTAAACTGCGATCGTGGAGCGGGCCATGGGTATTGGCCATGGAAGTGCTTGAGGTTGCCAATCGATGCAGACCTGGAAACAACATTGGTCTGGGAAGCCTCCTCGACATGATCGCTACCGACAACAAACAGCGCCTTATGTTTCGCGGGCCAATGGACAGTGCTGCCGATGCAATTGGGCAACCGGCTTTTCCGGTCTACGTCGGGTGTACGCAAGGCCACTCCAGCAATCTGCAGCTCGACAATGCCTCTATTGCAAAGGCATATCTTACGCTGCAGCGTTCTGATGAGCTGGCTAATGCCGCCCGAGAGGGCAGGCCGTTGATCCCGATTGACAAGGCGCCGCCCAGGCTCTATCACCGCACAACACATGATGCGGCGTATGCGATTCTGGAAGATCGTTTGTTGCCGGGTTTTGGGGGTTCTGAGAAGGCGCATTGCTACTTTGCGCCGCTGCCGCTCGAGGAGCAGAAGGCACGTTCAGGACTCCGTGCGAGCTCACCGATCGAGATCGTCTTTGACACTCGGGAGGTCCTGGAAGCTGCTTGCGATCTATTCGTCACGGAATCGGACGGCATATTGTGTTCCGAAGCAGTGCCAGGATCAACAATCCTATTCATCAACGATACTCAGCGCGATGTCGTACTCTGGTCCCGTGCAGGGGGCACTGTACCTCCTGACGAAGAGCAGGGAGAAAGCCCAGCTAACGCTGAGGCCGGCATCGACATCGTTCTTGATGAACCCGAGCCCGAGGAGACGACTCAGGACAATTTCGCACCGCCTATTGATGAAGAACATGGTACCCTTCCAGCTGAGGAAACGTCCCTGCCGCCTATTCCAGATGTTGCTGATGTGCTTGAGGGATCGTTGGCTATCACCGATGCCCCTGCAAAGGCTGACGACGATGAAGCCCCTGATGATGAGCAAATGCCCTCCGTAGAGGAGAGGCCGCTTGTTGAACCAGGCACCATCATTGCACAGCCGGGTCCTCCAATCAGGACTGTGTACATCGGTGACGGAATGGCGACAACGGTGACGCTGGATGCTGAGGGTACACCAGTTGAAGCAATCCAGGAGCCGGTGGGAAGGCCAGAACCAGTACTTTATGCTGGTAGTGAGACCAAGCCATCCGCCGCGTTTTTGGAGAAGATCAAATGCTACCACTGCAAAGCTGAGTGTCTTCAAGGCCAAAGGATTTGCTCTCAATGCGGAGGGCCAGTTCGACCAGGTCAATTGAAGGCACAGGGCAGACGGACGCTGTTGGCACGTGGGCGTGAAGCTCTGCTTCAGGAGATGGGTGATGCCGCTGAACGAGTGGGAGTGAGGCCAAGCCTTCAAAGCGCATCGAAAGATGTCGCCGGCCGTGGCATGAACTCCTTAGAAGGCGAGGTTATTCGGAAAGCCAAAGTGGCAAAGCAGAGAGCCGTGAAAAAGGGCTACACTGATTGCGTAGCGAGGTTCAATCATGACAATGAATACGCAATTTCAATGGCCAAAGAGGGATACACACGCAGAACGATCCGTGCCCTCGACTGCCTCTGCTTCGCCTACCTTCCGAACCCTGGCCGCACTCGATCGCAACGCATGCTGGCTATTGGATCCTCCAGAGCGGCGAGTACCACGCACCAGATCCGCACGGACGAGGTTCCGGAGTGTCGTATCGTTTTCTTTACCGGAGACGATGGCATTGGCGGCAAGTTGTGCGCAGCGGGACTAACGTCCACGCCGGAGGATACGCCAGTAGCATTTACTTGGTACGGAGCCATCCTTTCGTTCCAAGATTTTGCTCACAACGTCGCCAGGCAAAAGGGGGGCATCCGTCTACAGACTTTTGGCCACGGCAAGGTGGATCTTCTCAACTACGATCCCGCTGCAGTGGGTGCGGACCTACAGACCGTTTTGGCAAAGGACCTACCCTTCATGGTGGAGACGGTTGATGAGACCATCAAAAAGGCCAATCAAAGTCGTGCTGCCCAGCCGAAGTATGCCCAGCAGCATCCGCCAGGTGGTGGCAAGGGCTCTACGTATGCCCGAGCAGCAGAGAAGGGAAAAGGCAAACGCCCGGCTAACGCCGAGGCCGCCGATCGCACCAATCGCGACTGGGACTGGGATGATCAATCCTGGTGGCAGAATTGGTCTTCGTCATCCTGGGGATCATGGCGCGGCCAGAACTGGGACAACCAGGACTGGCGTGAGTGGCGCAATCGCGGATGGCGTTGGTACTGATAAGCCGACCCAGTAGTCTGATTCTTTCGAGCAAGAGGGATGTTCACCCGGCCTGTGATATTTTTCAAGTGGCTGTGCGGCGAACTCCTATCGTCCTTGCTCCACGCTGAAACCAGCGTCTTGCATTTGAAGAAAAGCTCGTATGCAGTTTTCGCACCCTTCCTCGAGGCACACGATAGTCACATGTACTTTTGCTGATACAACTGATGACGCGGGAGGCAACTCCACGCCGATCGTCGAACTCCGAGCCGAAGCGCTCTTCCACCTGCAGGCGAAGGTATGCTGTGTTTTTGAATGCAGTGACCGTGCCTTTAGGTGAGGGGGGTGTAGTTTTGCATCGCAGCTTGCGTAGGAGTTTGTATGGTCGTGTACAGTCATCATGTTGTGTACTATATACCGCTGACTATTGTGCCCAAGCCCTCTGAGTAAAAGGTTAGCGCGACCGCTCATGGCTTAACGGTTTTGGTGTATTCTATAGAGAGCTCTTGGGTCTTTTTGGGGTCTCGGAAATCCTAGACCTTGAGGTCCCCCAAAGTGTTAGGACCCTTAGGGTAGGGTTCAGGATTATCTTAGAGGTGATTAGAAATGTGTTTTCTGTTATTTTTTTAAATCTTTGGGTACAAGAATCCCTGAGCGCAATCCCTGAATTAAGGTTTTAATTTATTGCAAGGGTACCATATAGGCTTTGGGGTGTAGTTTAGCCCATGCAACCTCCAAAGATTCTGAGCTTTTGGGGTTTGGTTGAAGACCTCAAAACTAGGACCTAGAGTAGGCCCTTATTCCCTTTTTTAAGGGTTCAGGTTCCCTTATAAGCCCCTTTAAACCAAAAAGGGCACCCTTTTTATTCCTAGGCTACTCTGGGGTCTAGAAAAGGTTCCCTCGGGTTTCGGGTTTAGGGTTTAGAGTTTAGGGTTTCGGGTTTAGGGGTTGGAGTTCAGGGTTTAGGGTTTAGAGTTTAGGGTTTCGGGTTTAGGGGTTGGAGTTCAGGGTTTAGGGTTTAGAGTTTAGGGTTTCGGGTTTAGGGGTTGGAGTTCAGGGTTTAGGGTTTAGAGTTTAGGGTTTCGGGTTTAGGGGTTGGAGTTCAGGGTTTAGGGTTTAGAGTTTAGGTTTCTGTTGGGGCTGATTCCAAGTCGTTGTAGGGGTTTGGGCTCTCACAGCTACTATAATTAGGGGCCTCTGGAAACGATTTCTAGTTTTTTGTCATAATTATAGTCCATAAGTAGACACAGTCAAGCATCACAGTTGTTCCTGAAACCCTAAACACCTCTACCCCTAAACCTCTAAAGGGTACCAAGTTCCGTGTAGTATAGATCCTACTCCAAAATCCTTTCGCCAGCCTTAAAGGGAACTCCAGAAAGTTGGAATATGGTTTCAGGGTAGGATACCTTATAATTTACCATAGAAGGGTAAGGATAATCATATTCCAACTTTCTGGGTTTTACCTGAAACCCTGAGGCCCCAAACCCAAAGGCCCTAAGGCCCCAAGCCGTAAAAAAAAAAAAAAACCTTAAACTCTAAAGGTTTCGGGTTTGGGGAGTATAGTTCTTCTTTGCAGATCCTCTTCTTGTTCAGCTACAAAAACTCTTATGTAAGGGTCCTACGCATAAAGCTTCGATAACAAAAGAGGAATTACAATAAATACTACATGTAGTCCTGACATGATTCAAGGGTATCGGATTCCTTAGGCCCAAATTGTCGGTAAAACTTACTGTAAACGTAAATCAAAACAAGACGTATTTAGGTGTCTCACGGGGATATAGTTACTTGCTTTCACTGTGAACACTGCTTCTCCCTTCACGTGCCCACCTATGATTCAGGTCGCGCGGGCAAGACGGCCGGGATCTCGTCACCGTGTTACCCTTCTGGCCTTCGGGGATTGTGAGGGGCTTTGGGTTTTCGGACAATTCCCTATTCCTCAGTTGCAATGTAAATAGCCTTAACCCCCTTGCATTTGAAATGAGAAGATTCTATCTCATAGGATTAGGGCTTTAGTGTAGCTGCGCAGAGGACGGCTAGCACAGCTTCAACTTTTTCAATCCGAACCCCAAGCCCCAAACCTTAAGCTGAAAAGTACCGAAAGGTTAAACCTTATACCGGGACTTGGAACGGGATTGGGCTCCCAGATCGCTTAATTAAGGACTATAGTTTACCTGAAATTAGGTATATTGCTTAATTAAGCGATATTGGAAGGTCTGGGAGCATGCCATCAACCACGAAGCTTACTTTCATTTTCAGTTCCCATAGCACTTGATGAGTTAGAGCAAGTCACACTGTTCTAACATTTTGAGGAACCTCAAAACAGTCCAACGAAATGCGACACGCCCACTCCTCACAATTCATGGCTGAACCTGCACTCACAACCAATCTAGGATGCCCAGTAGTACCCTTATTCCCTTTTTGCAGTCCTAGGGTCCTTATAAAGTTACCCAATACCAAAAAGAGAGGCCTTTTTATTCTTAGGTTACTGGGTATCCGAGTCATACTGAACCCGAATCTCTTTTGAGGACTCATCGAAGCTTAAATCTCCTCAACACTGGTTCCTCTGCCCTCGACTCCTTGTAGTATCCTTAAGGGAGGGGGGTCCAAGGGGGGTATATAGCCTAGTGATCCCAAATCCTCCCTAGTACTCCCTAAGGTTCCCTTACAGTCCCCTAAGGATTCCTTATACCCTCCCCCCTTGAACCACCCTCCCTTAAGGATCCTATAAACTCCAATTCCTCAACCGGGTCCCAAGACGAAACTCCAACTCCGAAGCTTTGTTCCGTAAACCCTAAACTCTATACTTCTGCATCCTAAGCCCTACTTGAGCCTTTATTTGAAGAAGGTTTGTTTTTTTTGGTAGTCTCTCCATGATCACAACACGAATATACACTCACCAAAGTCCTCTGCAGCCCTACATACACTCACCGAAGTGCCTGGTATCAGCCCCACTTCATGCAAGAAACCTACAGCACCCTATGCGAAGCCTCTGAGACCCTTCTAAATCCCCTAGACACCTTAGAACCGAAAATATTGAACCTGAATTCCTACATCCTAAACCCAAATATTTCAGCCCGAAAGCACCGAAATCCTAAGCCATCTTCGACCTGGATTCCTACATCCAGGTTGAACACGCTCCGGTGCGGAAGGCCGCAGCAAGGCCACAGGGCCCGAGACAGAGGGTGTGACGTAGGGTTTCGGGTTTGCATTTAGGGTTAAGTTTTTGGGTTTAGGGTTAGGGTTCAGGGTTTCGTGTTCGGGTCTGGTCTAAGCCATTTACAGGTGGGTAGTTATTAGGTGGGTAGTTTCCCATAAGGCTCCCATACCACTCCTATAAGGTAAAGGGGTCTTATGGGAGTACTATGGAAGAGGAACTACCCACCTGCAGTGGGCTTCTATCTGGGGTTTAGGGTGTAGGCTTTGGGTTTGGGTTTACGGGTTTAGGGCGTAGGGTTTACTTGCTTCGTAAGGGGGGGGGGGGTTCATGAGCTCTATTCGGCACAGGTTCTCGTAATGGTAGTACCCTTTTGCACTCTCTTTTGCTACTAGGAAAAGGGTAACTACCTTGTTATTGAGGGGCTTCCAATATCGATTAATTAAGGAGAACATACCTTAAAGTATCCTTAAAGTATATCAAGGATCCTACTGTAATTTGAGGCACATTCCTTAATTAAGGGAGATTGGAAGGTCGGGGTATTTAGGGTTTTTAGGCTTTGGGATACTTTCGATATACTTCTGATTCCGGCTTTCATGCTTAGGGGAGGCCATTACAGGTGTTTGTTGGTTCTGGGTTTCGAGGGTGTGCAGAGCCTTTGCCTAGAAGTTTATAGGTCTCCAAACGCTTTAGGCTTCCACGGGGTGTAATTCAGAGCTCAAGTTTGCGATGGACCTTCCACTTCGTGCGAATGCCTCACGAGTTTTCGCAGTGATGCTCATTTCGCTGATCCCAAGTTATTCATAGTTGCCGATTTCTGCCGCTGGGCTGAAGTCATTTTGTTCGCGGCTGCACGGCTACATGTTAGTGAGTGTTCCGCCTAGAACCCACAACTAGTCAAGCCCTTTCCTGAACCCCATCAATCTCTCAAATGCATCTCTACAGACTTGACGCACGTGAAACTCTCTGACCTCAAAGCAGCCTGCTGAAGACCCAAACCCGCTTCCTTTCCCTTGAGTGAACCCAACAGCCCTTGATTACGGAATTTACCACGAGTCTTCTATGCAATTTGAGGTCTACTTTAGAAATCCGCTTCTCATGATCAAGCGTTGCAGCTTACTAAGTCCTGCAGAGATCAAGGTGAACCGGGATCTATCGACAACCCAATAAGCTAAGGTTGTCTTCCTAAGCCACAATTTAAGAACTGACGCCCTGACACTCCACTAACTACCCTGTACTTAAACCTTAAAGCCTTAAGCATGATTACGCCTCAAATGCAGAGTACTTAGCCTGAATATGACTTAAAAGTACAGGTACAGTCTTTACTTAATCACCCAATGGAAATGCCACAGGATTCCGATGAAGTCATCAGAGCCAATGAAGTGTTCGGAGTCTTTGGTATTCTTCAGGTAGGGATCTCGTCAATTAGAATCCACTTAGACCCTGTAGAAAGCTGCATATGGGTAGTTATCTAAACTAGGATCCCTCCTGGGGCCCTTTTTATAAGGGTGCCGCACTATGTTTGGGACTGACAAGGGGACCCTTATTTAGAGAACTACCCATACACGCCCTTTTAAACACAACCCACGAAATGCTTGTTGCCCCTAAAACCCAAAACCCCTAAACCCCTAAACCCTTACCCCTAACCCCTAAACCCTTCACCCCCCCCAACCCCTAAATCCCAAAGCCTAAACCCCCCTAAACCCCTAAATCCTTTAAGCCCTAGCACCCAAAACCCCCAAATCCCTAAGCCTAAGAGCCCTACATCCCAAAACCCTTGTGGAGGAAGCCAGCCTCGGGAAAGATCGGGCCTGCAGCAAAGTCAGGCAAGACGTCCCTGGAGGGTTTTGGGGTTTAGGGATTTAGGGGTGTTCTGGGTTTGGGTTTAGGGTTTAGTGTTTTGGGGTTTAGGGTGTAGGGATTTGGGGGTTTGGGTGTAGGGGTTTAGGGTTACGGGATTTACCTTTGGTCACCATACCAGAGGGTCTAGCAAGACGGCCCCACGGCTTTCGTATTTGTTGGGTTACGTGTTAGGGACTGTTAGGGTTTTGTGGTCTAGGGTTTGGGTCTTAGGGTTTTGGGGTTTTGGGTTTGGGGTTTAGGGTTGCTTATGGGGTTTGCTTTCGCAGGGGCATTCTTGCGGTAGTAGTGCGATGAGGTTATCAGTTGATTTAGTTTGCTACTATTGTTTTTTTAAATAACCTGGTTGCGATTGTTGTTATACGATTGCCAGCAGCAGTATTGTCATCAGCGTCAGTGTTATTTTCATCCTTATAGTACTGTGACAATATATAGCAGATATAGCATCATCATGAACACGTGATCAACAATGTGGTTCGGCTTCTATTACTGTTGTGCTTCGGCGGGGTTGCAAGGGTTGGCCCCACGTGTTTAGCTGAGTTTAGAGGGCTGGAGAGTTTGGGGTTAGGTCAGGTTTTAGAGTTGAGGTACAGGGTTTATGGTTGGAATTGTTCCATAGATTCAGGGTTTGGATTTAGGGTGTTTGGCTTGGGGTTTAGGTTCAAGATGGTATAGTTTTCTGCAGGCATGCAGAGGAGGGCCTTCGCATTAGATCGGTTTATTATGGATGTGTGTTTACAGTGTCAAACGCCGACGACTACGACTTCCCTCTACATCCTCAAAGCGGCGATCAACACATACTCCCTCGAACCCAAGCTTCCGCAAGACTTTGGGGGCCACAAGAGGCCAAGGAGAGCAACATCTACCTCCCGAAATCAAATCACAAGGGCCAAGATCCTCCTCAAAGAACCCACCCCCTTTCTGAAAAAAAAAAAAAGACACCCTCAAAGCTTGTATAAGAACCCCCCAAACCGTTAAGCCTAGAGCCTCACAGACCCCAAAGAGCCCTGCACCCTGCGACCTCAACACCCGAAGGGCCTTAAGCCTCAAGACCCTATACCTTCAAATCTGCGGACTCCCCGACACCCACCTACCTCCCAGTGATTTTCGTCATACCTACGTCTAAAATTTGTAAACATCGAAAACCACATTGTTCTGACCTAGACTACCTATGACTACGCCCAACTAATAAAAACTACTGCTAGTACTGCTGCTGCTTCTGCTACTGCTACTGCTACTACTACTACTACTACTACTACTACTACTACTACTACTACTACTACTACTGCTAATGCTACTGCTACAGCGTCTCTCACTACTACTACTACTACTACTACTACTACTACTACTACTACTACTACTACTACTACTACTACTACTACTACTACTACTACTACTACTACTGCTACTGCTACTGCTACTGCTACTGCTACTGCTGCTGCTACTACTACTACTACTACTACTACGACGACGACGACGATACAATTTCGACCATTGCGACTGCTACTGCCACGACGTTGACTACGACAACAACTGCTACGACTAGTATGACGACCACTGCGACGACGAGTGCGGCGACGACCTACCTACTACTAACATTAGTCGAAATCTTGAACCCTGTCTGTACACCCAGAGCCCTAAACCCAAAAGCAAAGAAGCGGAGCTTTGTGCAGGTGCCAAGCCGGGGCTGAGCCAGCAGACGCCACGCCGGCCAAGTCAAGAGGCGCGGTTGTGAGTGTTGGGGATCGGGATTTACAGGGTTACCATAAGGGCTACTTTAAGTGTTACTATAAGGTCTACCAAAAGGGTTGCTATAAGGATTATATACTATTATATGGCTTACTATAAGGCTTGCCTTTGACAAGCAGCTGAAAGGCGTGTAAAGGGTTGCTACAGGTTTTTGCCCGGTTGATGCAAGTTTTAAGGGTTTTGCGTTTATTCGGGTTTTGAGATCGCACACCAATTCCCCTATTCAGCTCTTATCATTCAGCCATTATATTTAACGGCAAACAGAAGGTGACTGCTGGCATTATCCACAGCTGCGTTTGTTTTGGGGTGGTGGACGTCGTAATCAGGCGCAACACCGTGCAAGAGCTAATGCTTTCAACATACCCAGAAACCCGGAGGACTCCGGAACCCAAACCCAGAGGGTCCAAGTACCCAAGTAGTAGGGATTTAGGCCATACTCTGAATGGTTGCTGGACCTTGAAACCCTACTATTTGGGTACTTGCACCCTTAGGGTAAACAATCGGCGCGAAGCATGTAATCCTAAGCCCCTGGAACCTCAAGAAGCCCTGCCTTAACCGCACAAATCCCAATCCCCAAGACCTTAAATAGCAAGCTTTCCCGAAGCCCTGAAGAAGCCCGCCACCTGAAACAAAATTTTTGTAAACCCCATAGACACCCCAAGAACCAAGACCCTAAAAAAGCCCGAGACCCTAAATAAGTATAGTAGGAAACCCTCATACAAGCCCAAAGCCCACATCGAAAATGCGTAGCCCTCTTCAAACACGAAACCCCCATGTCACCGTTCATTCCATCCTTCATTAACGGAGTCTTTTTGAGCCCGCACCCTAAACCCGAAACCCGAAACCCTAAACCCTAAACCTTAAACCAAACCCCAACCGTTTAAGGAACCCTTGAAGGAACCCTTTTGAGAGCCCTTAAGCTGCCTCCAGATCGCCACCTTGGGCTTCCGCTGGCGGGAGCCGCCCTGTGAGTTTTTTTTTGCGGAAGTTAAGGGTTTAACTAGGTAGGGCTTTGGGACTTTTTCTATTTTCCATTATTGGGCTTAAGAGGATCTTCTTTGCTAATATTTTTCAAAGGCTCTAAAAGCCCCACCTAGTCTAAGCCTTGTTTATGGGGGGCCTTTGGGGTTTCTAGAGGCTTTGTCATCGCTTATGGGGGTCTTTTGTGTGTCTAGTCTGTTTATCAGGGTTTGTGGGGGGGTTTAGGTGCCTAAGGGTGCTCTTGAAGGTTGTGAGGGTGTTGTTTAAGGGCTTTTTGGGTTTGTGGGCTCAGGTGTTTAAGGGGTGTTCGTTCGGGTGTTTTTAACTTTACGCGCCCAACCCCTTCTGTATGAATAACTTTTTCCTGCAGCGCAAGATGTATTCCGGTCAGGGGCCGAGAGATTCCCCTAACTTTGAACGCATACAAAGACCGTGCCCCTAAACCCCAAACCCTCCTGAACCGTACCTGGGATCCAAATACCTACTGTTTCGAGGGTTTATACCCTCTAATTCAGAAACCATAACCCACAATTCTGCAGGGTGTAGTGATACAGGTAGCCCCAAACCCCCAAAACCTTAAACCCTAAACCCTAACCTCAGGCCCATTCTCTGCCCTAAGGGTCCTAACACTTTGGGGGACCTCAAGATGTAGGATTTCTGAGACCCCCAAAAGACCCAAGGGCTCTCCCTCGGAGATTCCGGACTCTCCAAAAGAGATACATGGACGCTTAGCCCTAAACCCCACACCCCCCAAACCCTAAACCCTAAGCCCTAACCCCAAGGGCCCAAGTATTCAACAATCATATACTCTCCGACATCCTAACCTACATAACTGCTATCCTAAGACCGAGTACCTGATTATTGGGTCCTTTGGACCATTGGTGTAAACCCTAAACCCTAAAACCCCCACCCTAAACCACCTAAACCCTAAGCCTACAGCCTACACCCTAAACCCTAAACCCTAACCCTAAATCCTAGAACACCCTAAAACCCCTAAACCCTAACCCTAACAGGCCCCTTCTCTAGTTAAGCCGTAAACCCTAACCCTAAATCCGAAAGCACCCTAAATCCCAAACCCTAAAGCCCTAAACCCGTTCTCCAGTTACCCCAAACCGTATTAGCCCTAAGCCCTAAATCCCAAACCCTAAGTTAAGCAGCCCTAAATCCTAAAACACACTAAATCCCAAACCCTAAAGCCCTAAACCCTAAAACCCTAAGCCCTAAACCCTAACCCTAAATCCTAAAACCCTTAAATCCCAAACCCTGAGTTAAGCAGGAGGGAGCTCTGTACGTCCATTCCCGGGAGCCGCTGATGGGAGACCCCCTGGCCCGAAGCACAGACAGGGAGTTCTCAAATTAGGAGTTTAGGGCGTTTAAGGAGCCTTTTTAATGAGTTAGTTCTGGTTGAAGAGTTTAGGGCCTTTAAGGAGCCTGATTAATGGTTTAGGGCTCCTTAATGGGATCTAAGTGGGGTCTAAGAGTTTAGGACGCTACTGAGAGCCTCATAGCACGTAGCAAGTGGGGCTACACATAAGGTAACCATATTTATAAGTACTTATAAACCCCAATTGAGGTACTCATATCCTTACTTACTATCTTCGAAGTAGGAGTTGAGGGCTCCTTAATGGTTTAGGGCTTCTTAATGGGATCTAAATGGGTTTAGGGCTTTGAAGCTTTCTGCTTTTGGCGAGGCGTCCATGTGAAAAAGGGGTGTAGGGTTTTGAGTTCAGGGTTTAGGGGGTTAGAGTTTTAAGCTCTTTCGAGGGATCAGGCGAGGTGTGCATGTACAAGGAAAGAGGGAATATGCCCAGGTCGCTGCACTTGCATGGTCGGAAGAGGTTTAGGGCACTGGAAGAGGGGGCAGTTGGGGTGCGGTTATGTCCCTCTTCCTTGGAGCCTGGAGGTGTATGAGTGGGGTTTACAGTAGAGGGTTTAGGGTTTCGGCGTCCAGTTGTGTCCCAATTCCAGCACAACTACAGAGGTATAGTCCTGGCCGTGTCCACTTAAATCCCTGAACCCTAAACCCTTAACCCTTAGTTTAGGGACCCAATAAGCACATAAGCATAAGCATTATATGGGGATATCCCTACCTTATTGGGCTTCATTATAAGGGTGTTTATGTGGGATAGCCCTATCCTATTTTTTGCTTATGTGCTTTTTTGGGGCCCTACTAGTGGCTCCAGTGAGTCGAGAACCCAATGCCCTAAACCACAGATCCAAAATCTCTTACCCTAAGGGTCCTAACACTTGGGGGAACCGAACTGCAGGGTTTCTGAGACCCCAAAAGAGACCCAAGGACTCTCGCTAGGAGATTCCGGACTCTCCTAGGGAGATACTTGGACCCATAGGGCAGACCTAAGCCCAGAAATCTAAACCCTTGCAGTTAACCCGACATCCTCGTACCTGTTGCCCAAAAAATGCTCAGATTTTCAAGGGTGCGGAAGGCGTCCTCAGATGAGGAGGCGAAGCCTGCAGCTGCCAAAGTGGGGTTTAGTGTAGGAACCTGATTAAGAAATTCTGGGTCTTTATATGGGGTTCGTAATAATCTGGATCCTAATTTTCTTTGGGTTTACAGGGCCAGGGTTTCTGAATCAGGCTCCTACATTAGGGTTTAGGGTTCCAGGGTTGAGGTGCTGGCAGACACCCAAGCGGAGGACGCTGCGATTGAAAGGGCCAAGGAGACGTGGCGCCGAGCTCTTTAGTGTTGATGGCCTGCGACAAGATTCCGTGCCTGCGATGTCCAGGTCATTTCCAGGTCGATCCCCTAAGGGTCCAGGTATCACTTTAGGAGGGTCCGGAATCTCCTAGAGAGAGCTCTTGGGTCTTTTTGGGGTCTCAGAAATCCTACATCTTGAGAGCTGTAGCTACTGTACGATACCACGAGGGTCCTAAACTCTAAACCCCTGGTTTTAGGAGGTTCTTGGAAGGGGTGCATTGGCAAGCTTGAGCCTTTTGACGGCTCTGGGTTCAGGTTGACTTGAATCCTAGACTTCAACAAAACCCTAAACCCTAAACCCTAAACCCTAGATCCTAAACCCTAGACCCTAAACCCTAAAACAAAACGTTCAGGGTTCACCTGCAGCTCCAGGCTCCTGGACTAGGTCTAGAACCCAGAGTAGGCCCTGATTCCGTGTTTTTGGGGTTCAGGTTCCCTTACCCCAAGGGTCCAAAGGACCCAATAATCAGGTACTCGGTTTTAGGATAGTAGTTATGTGGGTTAGGATTTTGGAGAGTATATGATTATTGGGTACTTGGACCCTTGGGGTTATAGCCCCCTTTAAAGCAAAAAGGGCACCCTTTTTATTCCTAGGTTACTCTTAGGTCTAGAGGTAGGCCTTTGGGACATTTTCTATGTTCCCTCTTTGGGCTTAGGAGGATACTATTTACGAATATTTTTCAGAGGCATCAATTAGGATCCCTTTCAGGGTACCTATAACTCTACATATCGCTTACTTACCTCCAAGTAGAGGAGGGTCGGATTCAGGGGATGCAGCGATGAAGGGAACTGACCTCAGGTCGCGGTCCGGATCGCAGACGAGGCAGGGTCGGAATCGTTGACCCCGAGCCCCAAGACCCAAATGCGTGTTTCCGAAAATTAGGGGTACTGTATTTTGGGGGTATCTAAAATCAGGACTCTACTATTTCGGGTACTATATCAGGATCCCCTATTCTCGGAAACAGGGCCCTCGATTCTCGGAAACTCCCAAAGGAGCCTTTCTTAGGCACCCCAAGAGGATATAAGCATAAGCAGTTGACAGGAATATCCCTACCTTATTGGGCTTCAGCTCAAAGGGGTGTATATGGGATATCCCTATCCGTCCCTATCCTTCTTTTTCAACACGTGCTTTTTTTGGAGCCCTACTCATGAGGCAGGGGAACTTATAAGTGTAGCCACATTCCAACCAGGGATTATCCTGACTAAGGCCATACACCAACATAAGCTACATGGCAACTCTCCAAAACGTTAAGGTGCCTATTTTAGAAACCCTACTTCTATTGTAAAGGTGCTTTGGACCCTTCGGCTTAGTCTACTCTAAGGGGGGGTCATGGGACTTCGTAGTTCAGGCGTGACCTCCGGGAAGAAAGCCCATAAGTACCTGCAAGATCGTATGAAGCCACTACAGGATTCCATGAAGCCCTATAGGATCTTGGAACCCTCTACTGTAGCAGCTGATGGGAGGCGGATGGCATCCGTGTGGTGGCGCGCCTCTTGTGTAGCGGTCGGCTGACAGAGGTGTGCTTGGGGATTTTGAGGTTTAGGGTCAGGGTTTTGGTTTAGGGGTTAGGGTTAGGGCTTAGCTAGGGATTGTTGAGGTTTGGGATTTTGGGTCTTTATAGGCTTTGGGGGTTCACGGCTGCGTTCATGGAGACATCCCCCCTCTCTCACTGGACGGGGATCGTCTTGGCTGGACCCCCAGCTGGCTTGATCGTGATCTTCTCGGTCCGTCTGGTGTTGCCCTTCCTTCGCGCATACCAGGAGCCGATTCGCGAGATCCGGGGGTCATCTCCGCGAACGGCGCCTCATATTCCCGAGCGAAAGCGGCGGTTGATTCATCGAATCCACACAGAAGCATTGCTCGACTATCGACGTGTACGTAGTGAAGGGAGCCGCCCCGCCCGAGGTCAAACTTGTCAAATTCGAGCATAACACAATATCCGTGCTCGCCTTCGTCAGTGCCGGCGTCGTCGCCCTCTCTGACTCGGATGGGTTACTCGAAGAGACCGTGCGCGGTGTGAAGGGAAGGCAAAGCGGTCGTCTCGACGTGCGAGGACAAGGGGATATACTCATCGCTTTGATCGGATGTTGCCCGTGCGATCTCGCAATCTCAAGCTCGCTTCTTGCGGGCCACGGTTACCAATGTTCTGCGCTCAGGGTCAGAGATTTTTGGTGGAGGGTTGAGGGTTTTATCCTGTTGCAGCGTCTTGCAAGGATGCACTCGGCCTTCCCAGATTGTCAATAAGTTTCCACTGCGGGTTGCTTTTCCTTGCGGCTGAAATGTGACTCACTGTGTTTAGAGGGGTTAATTTAACATAATCTAGAGGTTGTAACGGGTGCTTGGACGTGTCGTTCTCAAGGTTTCTGTTCTGTACCGCACATTTATGGGTTCTACTGGGGCTGCTATCGTGCATGACTTGGGGTCTTTATCCTTCCTTTTTCAATAGGACCTTGTGTAGCGGGTGCAGTCCTGAGCCCTCAACCCTAAACCCTTCTTTGAGTAACAGGTAGTTAGGGCCTACAAGAAATCAGGGGTTTAGAGGCTTAGGGCTTGAGGTCGGGGGTTTCTCAGGGTTATAGAGATCATCTTCAAGTCCGGAAAACCCTAAACCCTATAATCCCCTAGACCCTAAACCCAACTCCCTCGATGAATGCCTTCACCCCAGACGCTCAAAACAACGTAAACAAGCAAAATAAGAACCTAGCACAAGTCGAAGCACCGCAGACGAAACACCAGGCACATAAAGTTCTAGTCTAGACTCCTAAACCCCATGCCCGGAACACTCAACAACCCTAAAGCAAGGACAAACACAGCAAGTCGTGCAGGCAAACCTTAACCTAGCTTAAGTATTAACCCCCCCGCCGAACCCTCCCTCAATCTACCAAAACACTAAACCGCAAATCTTTAAACCTTAAGACCTCAACCGCAAATCCGAAACCACTAAAACCTAAATCCTACACTCCAAGCCCTAAACCCTAAACGCCAAATTCTAAATCTCCCTTAGAGACCTCTTGAAAGGAACTTTCAATAGATCCCGAAAAGGAACCTTAAGTAGATGCCTTAAAGGAACCCTGAGTAGATCCCTAAAGGAACCCTAAGTAGATCCCTTAAAGGAACCCTAAATAGATCCCGACCCGAAGTAGATCCCTTAAAGGAACCCTAAGCAGATCCCTTATTATTATATAGCCCATCAAGGAGCCCTTAAGGAACCCTTATAGATCCCTGAGAAGAAGCCCGAGCCTTAAACCTTGTAGATCCCTTAAAGCACACGCAAATAGATCCCTTAAAGGAACCCTGAGCAGATCCCTGCAAAGAGCCCCAAACCTTAAACCCTAAACCCCAAAACCCTAAGCCTTAAACCCTAAACTCTAAACCCTAAACCCCTAAACTCTAAACCCCTCAACCCTAAACCCCTAAACCCTACACCCCTAAACCCCTAAACACTAAACCCCTAAACCCTAAACCCTAAACGCCGAAGCTAGCTCCAGGTGCGAGGCCCGGCTTTGCAGCCGCTCGAGGTCCGACCTGGACGTGCCAGGGTCCCCAGAAGCCGAAAAAGGGTTCCTTAAAGGGTTCTATAAGGGGTTTAAGGAGTTTAGGGTTTAGGGAAAAAGGGGTTTAGGGAGTTTGGGGTACTCTTTAAAGGGCTCCTGAAAGGGTTCTATAAGGGGTTTAGGGAGTTTAGGGTGCTCTTTTAAAGGGCTCCTTAAAGGGTTCTATAAGTAGGGGTTTAGGGAGTTTTGGGTACTCTTAGGGTGCTCTTTAAAGGGCTCCTTAAAGGGTTCTATAAGGGGTTTAGGGAGTTTTGGGTACTCTTTAAAGGGCTCCTTACAGGGTTCTATGAAGGGTTTAGGGAGTTTAGGGTACTCTATAAAGGGCTCCTGAATCCATAAGGGGTTTAGGGAGTTCAGGGTTTAGGGTTTAGTTTAGGTTCTATAAGGGATCTATAAGAGGGCTCAATACTGTTGATGATATAAATCCTGCATTACCCATAATAAGGAATATACCATAATTCCCATAGTTTAGGGTCCTTAAGGTAATGCAGGATTTATATCATCAACCGTAGTATCAGAAGCCAAGCAAATCAAAGCAAGGTAGGTTTAGAAGGGAAGTTCCGGGTTCAGGGTTTAGGCATGTTTAGGGTTTTTAGGGTTTAGGGTTTAGGGTTTAGGGTTTAGGGTTTAGGGTTTAGGGGTTCAGGGTTTAGGGTTTTTAGGGTTTAGGGTTTTGTTCAAGGTCTGTAGAAGCCAAAAAGTTGGAACATCATTATCGTCGTACCGTTAAAGTAAAGTATAGGGAGAAAACACGCTAATCCTCTTAAATCCATGTTCCAACTTTCTAGGGTTAACTTTTGGGGACAGGGTTTAGTTCGGGGTGTTGAGGTTTATATAGATTTTTGGGCCTGGTTTAAGGCTCATAGGTGTAACTCGTTGCCATTTGTTAGGCATTTTGGATGCGGACTTAGTTGTGGATTTAGGGCGAACCCCCAGTCCCGATGCAGAGAAATCTGGACTTCTTTGAAAGTGTTTCAAGATGTGCTATCATCGTCTTCGCGACGTATTTATAGGCTCCCGCATCCGGTTCACGCTGAAGTATGGTTTCGAAATGCTCCCATGGTGCCACAGGAGGCACCTGTATAGACAACCCAAGAATGCAAAGAATAATCCTGAAACCATTCCAAAGCCCCCGAACTCAACGCCCAAAGCCATCCCAAGCCAAAACGACCTACAACATCTTATAACAACAGGTCATGGCTCCCGATACAACCTACAACAAGAGTGCGCATAGCCCTGAAAAGACTCCAACATAGCGATCACTTGGGGGGTCGGGGGACTTACTAAGTAGCCATTTTGGAGAGTTAGAAGTACCATAATCCCAATCTCTCTACTTATTGCCTAGTTACTAAGACCCTGCAAGCAAACCTTTTTCCTAAGCCCTAAAAGCCTTAAATCCTGAAGCCTCAAGCTCGTGAATCCTAGTTTAGGGTTTAGGGTTTAGAGTTTAGAGGTTTAGGGTTTAGGGTTTAGGGGTTTAGGGTTTAGGGGTTTAGGGTTTAGGGTTTCCCTAAACCCTAAACCCTAAAGAATGATGCCTTTGGCTAAGGCCTCCAGCAACATCGCTGCCTTAGCAGCTTTTGAGGCCGACATTGCAGCAGGGGTTTGCATGCGAAGTCATGTAGTAATAAGAGGAGACATGGTTGACTTTTGCGGCATTGGGATACTATTCGTCCGGGTTCCAAACTATACTAGTATAGTAGACTCTACCCCAAGCCCCCTATAATTGTACTGGAATTATTCAGCCGCCTCTTCCAGGCTTTGTATTGCAGTTCGATCGATGGGTTTAGCGCTTTAGGGCCGGGCTAGAGTTTCTTAGCAGCGTGACAAAAAGAATAGGTTTTGCCTTTCGTGGGCCAGTGAACGCAGCAACAGGTAGTTATTGGGTTTCTAAATCGCCGGGGATTACCTACAAGGGATCGTTTATGGCTTCGACAAGGGAAAGTTTAGGGTTTAGATTTCAGAGTTTTAGCTGACATGGCTTTGGGAATACAGGTGGGTATGAAACAGGGTTTCTATTCGGGTCACCGTATGACTTCTTATGCGGAAGGACGATAAGGGTTGATGAAGTGTGATGTTTTAACAAATATGGTGTAGGTTTAGCCCTTTAAAGCCGTTTTAAGAAACCTTTATGTAAATTCTGGACTTCGATGGATTCTTGCGACCTCTAAGAGAGCGATGACGCTCGCAGCCGAGCTGAGCGAGCAGAGGACCTACTGGTGCAAGCTCTGCGCCGCCGTTCGAAGTCCAGGCGCAGGAGGAGCAGCCCAGAGCCTCCCAAAACCCTGTAATCAAGGAATCTACCTTAAAGTTTAATAGGACCCCTAGTGTGATTTAAGATATATTCTTCAACTGAGGGATGTTGGAGTGTCTGGGGAGCAGCTCATCCGATAGGGATCGATGCCGGCGTCGCGCTGAACGATATCGGGACCGAGAAATGGAAAGAGCAGACCCAGAGAGCACAGTGAGTGTGACGTTAGAGCCTTGACACCAGGATGACCTTTATTATTGAGGAATAGACATCTATCTTCAGTAGCTGTGCAGGTAACTTTTAACATTTTGGAGTTTTTTCCTCTCTTACCGAAGCTCAAGAGGCTAGCCTTTTTGGGGGTATTAGTGTACTCAGCCCCAAGGTAACCTTCTTAGATACCTTACTCCGGTAGATGTAGATTCCTTAATCGAAGGCTCGTGGGTTTTCTTGGGGCTAGACCCCGTGTAAAGCATCATGCAAGCCGTGTGGAGCCCTGCAAAGCCCGAAACCGTGAGCCCTAAATCCGAAACTATGAACCCTAAATCTGAACTTTGCCTCCTTGACCCCGAGGGTCCAGAGGACCCAATCATCAGGTACTCGGTTTTAGGATAGTAGTTATGTAGGTTAGGATTTCGGAGAGTATATGATTATTGGATACTTGGACCCTTGGGGGACAGGAAATGTTCTTCATCGGCGATCCGGAAGAGTTATCACAGGCCGGGCAGCTTTAGTGAGTGAAGTCCTAAGGTGTCTGTTAGGTCTAGAGTTTGGGAAAAGGGGCTTAGTAGGTACTTCTTAACGGAGAGATTCTACACATCGTGACCCTCAGCGTGATCACCATCACCATCATCATTATCATGTTCATCAGAGACCCAAGGAATTTAGGGTTTAGGGTTCAGGGCGCTCTAGATCTTCCCCAAATACTAACCATAGTTCCTGTGGGCCCTTAAACAACTTTACGACTATGAAGCCCGTTGTAGACCACCTACAAGTTAGGACTTTTGAATCCTTAGGGTAGCAAGCAAAGCCTCCCATATGTCCCTGACCGCAGGGGTCCATGTACCCAAATATTATACTGTGGCCTTAAAGTAGTCCCTATTTAGGTACTTTGGGGCCAAAGCATAATGTACTATTCGGGTACATGGGCCCTTAGGGTAAGGGTTTAAAGCTTAGGGTTTAGGGTTATATGGGCTCCTACTCAAATTAAAGCGATCTTGTTTAAAGAAGGGGTTTTGGAGTCTCTGGGAAACTACCTAAGGCTCCATGTACCTGTATAGCCTATGTAGGAACGCCGCTATACTAAGCCTACACTACATGAGTACATGGAGCCTTTGGGTGTAATGTCTAAGCACTAGGGGTTAAGGGTCTAATAAGGTCTAGGGCTTCATGATTTCCGGTTTCGGCTCATCACTTACTAACGGTGCAAGAACCGAAATGGCAAGGCTTCAGGCTTTAGATGTGAAGAACCCATTCATCGTATAGTACTTCGGACCCAAATCCCTGCTGCTTGGATTGTCAGCTACTACTGTTGTTCCTTTCGCCTTTTTGTCGAGATTTGTAGTATCGCACTCACACAAGAAGCCCTAAAGGTGAGTCTGGACTTGCGTAAGGCATCTTGGGATCGCTGGATCCTGGATTCTACAAAAGCCTCCTTCAGGGTCCAAAGGACCGAAAAACTAGGTTCTTGAAGGGCTCCTTCAAGGGTGCCGTAAAGGTTCCGCAGTAGTAATTACCCTTCTCCCCTTTGTATTTGAGGCCTCTTATGAAAGCCGAATACTAGGAAAAGGGCACCCTGATTGTTAAGGGGTTACTTGAGAACATAGATAATCAGGTACTGTGGCTTAGGATACAGTGAACCCCATCAAGTTGGAATCCGAGTTGAGGCCAAATAGTGCTGGGGTTCCCTATACATTACTCTTAGGGATTCAGGATATTGCGTTTCCAGCTTTTTGGCTTCTGGGGTAGTAGTTTGTAGACCGTATAGAAGCCCGAAGCCCTTGCTTGAACTGGATCCCCAACTCTCGGCTCTAGATCCTACCCTAAGGGTCCTGGTATCTCCTTAGAAGAGTCCCCTCTAGAAAACCCCTGCAAGGAAGCCTTTGAAGATTGAACCCAAGCAGCCCAAGCCCTATCCCTGAAAACGCCTAGGCCCCAAACCCTAAACCCCAGGCCCTAAACTCTAAGTCCCAAGCCCTATCCCCCAAAGGAAAGGGTCAGCCTGGTGAAGCCTCCCCACTCGGAGGGTCGGGGGACTTACAGTCGTATGTAATAAGTAGAGTTTTAAGTACCCTAAAAGTGATCCTAATCGGGGGTTATGGTAAATTCGTATAACTCGGTAAAATAACTCCTTAACAACTTCCCCGACCCTCCAAGCAAGTCCAGGGCGCTCCGAAAAGCTTCGGATGTGTGGAGCTGGGCGAGTGCTCCGGCCGAACATCTTAGGGTTTACGGCAAGCCCCGTTGGAAACCGGATTACAGTAAGGACAAACAGTGCTGGGATTCCCTATACATCAGTCTTAAGGACTGAGGCTATAGGGTTTCCAACTTTTGGGCTTCTACTACAGTGTTTATTGTTTAGGGTTCAGGGTTTAGGGAGAAGTACTGCGAGGATTTTGTTCGGCATAGTCAGTTTTTGTTTGTCTGGTCTGCATGGCTTTATCTGGGTTGTAAGAGTTTAGTGTTACAATGAGTTTATACCTGTCCTACCAGGGTTTCTAGGGACGGTGCAACACGGAATTTCATCCGCTTTGTGTGCGAAGGTTTTTAGCGACGGTTCAATATGGGTTTCATGGGGGTTTCAGAAGGGCTTCTCGAGACGGTTTAGCAAGAGTTTCATATGGGTTTCTAGGCACGGTTTGTGTATCAGGGGCTACATCAGGTAGGGTACCGGGAGTGTTGATTAGGCAGCCCAGGCTAAATCCCAAGCCTTGTTCCTTAAACCCTTATGTGCAACTTGAGGTGTTAGTGTTTAGGGTCGTTCTGCAACTTTCGATGCTCTGAAAAGTGCGATTTCGGAGGCTTCAACTACGACGAACAATTCTCCCGAAAACCCTCTATCGAAGTCCCGGAACGTTTGTTCCCTAACCCGACAGAAGGCATAACTCTAAATCCTATGCCTTAAAGAGAACCGTGTATACCCCAAACAATCCTGAACAGAAGCACCCAGTTTAAAGCATGGCTCAGCTCTAAACCCTGTACTTGTACCCTAAACCAGACAGCCTTAAACCCTAAGCCCACCTCAAAGACCAAATGACCCTTGAAAGGAAGGGCCTTTTACAATTATACTATGAATTCTTATATGGTAGATGAACCTTAAACCCGTTTATGGTACATTTCGTCCTTAAGCCCAGCCTATAAGCATGGCCAAGGTTGACTGCGAAGGAGCTCTCCACTTGCCTCGCTGCCTCCTGGCACGCGTCCCGGGAAGTCGCCGTGGATGCGATCCCAGAGGGTCCAAGTACCCAACTAGTAGGGTTTCAGGTCCCAAAATCCATACTCTGAATGGTTTTTGGACCATGAAACGCTACTATTTGGGTCTTGGACCTTTAGGGGATGTGTTTATTGAGGGGTTCCCTAACGGTCCAAAGGATTTAATAGTACTACGAGCATAAGGGCCGTATTAATGTCAGGAAGGGCTTTAGGGGTTTAGGGTTTAGGGTATACCCTAAGGGTCCCTATGAACTTAGTAGCTGAGTGGATACACTTTGCACTTTTTGGGATAATTTTTCCCTCCTATAAAACTGAAAACTGAAAGTGGACACTTTTTGGGGCTTGTGAACTCAGCAACTAGGATTAGATAGGGGTTCCCGAAGGGTCCAACGGACCCAATAGTGGGCATGTGGGGTAAATATTAGGGGGTAAACCTAAGGGTCCAAAGGACCCACTAGTGAGCAGTTGGAGTAGATTAGGGGGGTAAACCCCAAACCCTAAACGCTACGGTTGATGATATAAATCCTGCATTACCTTAAGGACCCTAAACTATGGGAATTATGGTATATTCCTTATTATGGGTAATGCAGGATTTATATCATCAACAGTAGTTGGGGGGTCTAGGAAGGGGCTCGGGGTTGAGGTTTTGGGCTTGGAAGCTTATTGGTCCTAGGGTTTAACCCAAAAAGTCCAAAGGACCCAGTAAAATTAGGTACTCGGTTTTCGGATAGGTAGTGATGTGGGTTACTATTAAGGTGAGGATTTTTTTTATTCTTGTTCCTATGATCGCAGCGCTTTGTGCCCCCTCCCTTTTGCACCCTTGCGCTGCGCAGCTGAGCGGCTCGAGCTTCGGTGACCGACGTTTTGCAATCAAAAAAAGTTGTCAAAGAAGACCGTGCAGACCCCGTTAAGACTCCGCAAGTTGCCTGCCCTGAATCCTAGACGCTAAACCCTGCAAAGCCAAAGCCCCTGAAGGGAAAGCTTAAACGCCAAAGCCCTGAACCCTGAACCACAGAATCGAACCCCAAAGTCCTAAAGTGTCAAATGCAGAATCGTGGGCCAAGCTACGTACGAGGCAGGGTTTAGGGGTTCAGGGTTGAGGGGGGAAAGCTTAGGCTTTACTTTAAGCCACAGCCCCAGCAACGGTTTAGGCCCGTTTACCTTCAGCACCCAAACTCAGAATCGCTACGCACGGCCTCGGAGTTCCAAAATCGAAGCTTCCATCCCCAATACCAAACCTTTAAACTCTTTAGGTTCTTATCGTTTAGTAGGAGTCGGTTTAGGGTTTAGGGTTTGCAAGTTTAACCTTCTATTTCTGTGGCTTATTGGAGTAGTAAGACAGCCAAATACAACGCAACAAGCATGAACTACAGAATGCTGGAAGCCCGCCAGACCCAGCGTCCTTGCACCGGGTTGTGTTACGCTCCAGGATGTATGTGTCGGGATCAACGATTAGAGCTCAGGAGGTGGAGATGAGCAATTTGGGCCTTTAGGTTTCAAGGTTTAGGGCTAAGGGTGTGGTTCACGGTTTTTGCAGCTTGTGCGATGGACAGTCAATTCTGCTGCCGCCGCTGCGATGATTACTGCGTGCACACTGCGATATCTACTCGTTCCTTGGCCGTGGGAGGGGCACACTTGGAGGGGCGGTGGACTCAATGTAGGGCCGTAATAGTTTTATTTTCCTATATACTATGTTTGTCTTTTTTGTTTTGTTTCTTTTGGGGGGTCCTGATGATAATTGTTGTATCGGCCCCAGACCTATTCTAATTATTGAGGCCCTTGTAGTAATTAGTAAGTAGGTTGTGAGTCGACTCGGCAGGCGGTAAGGAATATTACTATTTATTGAACTATCCTTCTATCCAGAGGTTATAATGGCATTCCTTGTTCAGCTTTCTGATTTCCTGAAGCTTGGTGGGGTTTCGATTGCAACAGCTGCGGGGGCCGCGAAATGACGGCAACGAGCATTACTGAAGTGTTCCAGGCTTCAAAACCCCAAACCCGGAAGAGCCAGCTTTCGCCTTTCGTTGTTTTTTGCGCGCGGAGTGACAAGCTTCAGGGTGGTGAAGTTCCTTTTCTGGAAGCCTCAACCCCAATAAAAAAGATCTACAGACCTTAAACCCACAACCGAACACTCCAAATCCTGGAATCTGAATCCCGTAATTACATCTTAAGGCTGCAAGCCCCAAATTTCAAGAACCCTAAACCCTAAGCCCCTACACCCTAAACTCAAAAACCCTATACCCCTAAATCCAAGGACCCTACACCCCTGAACCCTGCGCCCTGAACCCCTAAACCCTAAATCCCAAAACCCTTGAACCCCTAAAAACTTAAACCCTAAACCCCAAAGCCCTAAACAGCTAAATGCCAAAACCCTCAACCCTTAATTTCAATTTCGCCCCTGCCTCAACACTTGCCCTAATAAGGTTGAAGTCAGCAGGGTCCGAAAATCCCCTAGCTCATGAAAGCCCAGGCTGTTCAGTGGTACACTTTTTTACTTTCAGGTTTCTGGGTTCCTATTATGAAATCAGAAGCCTAAAACAGTATATACTGTTTCCCAGTGGGGTACTGAGCAGCCTAGAAGCCGTCAAAGAACACCTGCAGGAATCCTCCAAAACCCTTCATATCTCCCTATCACACTGAATCAAACCCCTAAGGGTCAAAAGGACCCAGTAATTAGGTGCTGGGTATTCGGAGAGTAGTTACGTAGGTTACTATTTGGGAGAGTATATGATAATTAGGTACTTGGACCCGTAACGGATCCTAAACCCCAAACCCTAAACCCCTAAACCCTAACTAAACCCTTTTCGACTCGAGGTGTGGCTGCCTATGGTGACGCCAAGATCCGATGTGCTCCCTTCCCTCCTCACCTTCCCAGCCGCAGAAACCGGGCCGAATATGTAGGGTTTTTAGGTATAGTATATACCCTAAGGAGCCCTTGGGTCTTTTGGGGGTCCCAGAAATCCTACATCTTGAGGTTCCCCAAAGTCTTAGGAGAATTAGGGTAGGCTCTGGAGGAGTTCTGGGAGGCTATGTAAACTTGGCGTTCTTTTGGTTGGCTCTTAGGACTTGAACTTTTTGGGTTTCTATACGAAACATAATAAGGAGGCTAAAAGTTTAACTTTTTGGAGGGGTTCAGAAGTCTGCCAGGTAAAGGCCCGGGTTTCTTGAAGGTGCTATAAGGTTAGCTGCAAGGGGTTCTGTAAAATGCATTCAGGATTCTATTTTGTATAAGCAGGGCCTTTTACTCATGGTGTACCGTTTCGGGTGTCAGGCTTAGAGCCTAAAAGCTTGAGGGTTTTGGATCTGAGGGTTTGTGATGTTTGGGACTTAAAGCCCAACTGATCCAAGCATTCACCCGTTTGCTTTGGGACCCTGAATTCCTGGCATGTCGGATGTCGTGAAATGGGAGATGGGCTTCAGGGTCTTGAGGTAAGGCTAACCGCCAAATCCTGGCTTAAACAATTATGAAGAGATCGCTTTGTCCGCACATAGTCATGCTACAATTCTCTCGGCACCTCATGTTCATCATTATGCCCGGCATTCTAGTCGACAACCAAACCCCGCACCTGCCCAACCCGACCCCCTAAACCATAAACCCCTAAACTTCTAGAACCCTAAACCCCAACCCTAAACCCCTAAACCCTGCCTAAGTGCGTCGGTGTTTGATGCTTTCCTTAGGAGCGGTCTGCAGCGCAGGGCCAAACTGCCTTGGCCCCTTGGGATCTAGGACTCAGAGGTTTTGGGTGTTCGCAGGGTGTGGGGTTTAGGGCTTTGGGTGTTTACAGGGCTTCTAGTTTCTGGGTTTGTGCACATCATAGGGATCCTTAGGGGTGTAGGGGGGAGGGGTGTAGGGGACTATATTTCCTTAAATAGGCCTTATTAGTCCTTATTATGGGCCTTAAGGCCCCCTACCCCCCCTCCCCCTACACCCCTAAGGATCCCTATGATCACAGTATATGCAGCGTCTAGAGGGGCTCAAGTCTCGGATGAAGGATTCTCGAAGGTGTTTCCCCGATTTTCCTGACCGCATCATGGAACGATACTCCACGTGTTCTTGAGTCGTGAAGGGTTGGGGTTTTAAGGTCCAGGGTTGAGGGTCTAGGGTTTAGAGCGGTTTCCGGTCTACTTAGAGGATCATGCGACCTGGTTTGGGTTTATAGATAAGGTACCCATACTTCTAAGTACTTATAACCCCAAGTAAGGTACTTGTATCCTTACTACTATGTCCCATGATCCTCCAAGTAGGGTGTCGGGTCGACGTGCATCTTCGCCGTGCAGGCTATGCTTATGTGAGCTTGTCAGCGGAACAGTGAAGCCTCGATTGTGTACACGGCGTTCACGCTTGGAGCTGTAGGGCTTTAAAGTGCGGAGTTCCATAAGCCTTCTTCTACATGATATCTTGTGCCGTCCTTCGGCTTCTTTTGTGTTTTAAACCTGGCCAATGATGATACACGCAGCTCCGCAACCTTAATATGTCGTTTCGCTTCTCGGGTATTGGTGGTTCAGTGTATAATGCCAAGTCCTGAGTAAACCTTCCTTGTCTCGATCAGGACCGTATTCGGGGTCCTACTTTCTAGTCTAGCCCCCAGGATCCCAACACTGTTCGTGTTCTGCCTATCGTTCCTTTTTTTGGTTAACCAAAATCTCTATTATAGGCTCCTATGCCATAAAACTGCTTTACCAAAAAAAGGAACTACACTGGAGACTATAGGTGAACTTCGCACCTCAGAAGATGCTGAAGCCGAAAGGGGTTTACGCATTGAAGGCTTGAATGTCTGGGGATTTCGGGGATTCCTTGGATGATTCGGGTAGTGCTGAAGCAAGGTAACTGGCGCAGCAGGCTTCATCGGGAGCCATGTAGCTCGGAGACTTGGCAGCAGGAAGGAGTTTTGCCCAAAGCCATACTTGAGCCTTACCCATAGGCTCCAAAGTAGTTCCTTTTTTGGGATTACCTTATAGTATTCTAAATATGAACCCCAAG